CGCGGCTTCCATCCTGTTGTCCAGCGGGAAATGCAGCCGGCTTACGACGTTTGTGTCGCCGAGTCAGGTAAGCCAGGCTACCACTACTTGTTTCCAGGTATCCGTCAGCTAACTATCAATAGGCCCTGGTTCTTACGCTCGCATGAAGAATCATATGGTCAGCCACGTCGAGACCTCTAGCGCTACCATGTTCCGCTACTCCACCGATAGCGTCAAGGAGCAGCTTGAGGCGTTATGCCGACGACTTCAGGACGAATTGACTACGCAAGTTCAAGACATCTATAGCCTGCTCGCCCGCGACTATCTGCATGTCCTCATTGGTGTTGACAAGGATCCCAAGCCTACCGGCCTCTCCCGTGCTGAGCGACTGCTTCGCGCAGAGATGTACCGTAAGCTGGAGCAGACAGCCAAACGCTTCGCCAGATCTAGCCAGGACGCAGGCGCAGATTCCGCAAATACTCCCGCCATGGGCGAAAGTGACGACCCGTTTGCAGACTCGGCTATAGCTGATATGGACGATCTTTTGCTAGCCCAGCTTTGCGGTGGTACCGTTGAGGGTGTTGGTGCCCAAGAAGCAGTCAAGAGCGAGCCTTCTGTATGATTCATTCCTGCGCCCATTTGCGCCATCTTTTGGAGGGAAAAGCAACGGCGTATCTCGGGATTCCTGTACATTATAGAGCTTTCCGGTGTGGATGTCTCGTATTGCTCATGCTTTACCAGCTTTGCAAAGCGGCTTCTATAGCGTGGGATGGATACGGGGATAGGAGTTATATGGTCCGGTTACACAGATATCCAACAATGATTACTTGCTTTGATGATACCCTCAACCCGATTTTCCAATGTGAGAACTGCTGAGAGTTACTTGACTTTCGCTCCTCAAGGGAGTCGGCATTGGTGTTGGCGCTGGTGTCGGCGACTGATGATGAGAGGGCGAGGGCGGCCAGGGGTATGAGGATGAGGGTTGTGAAGCGCATTTTGGGTGGCATGATGGTTGTTGGATTTGGAAGACTTGGAAGGAAATGAGAACTTTACAAGGAAATCGAGATCATGAAAGCCAGTTTCATGCAATCACTACTTCTTTTGCTCTTTACATCTACCTATCAAGTGACATGCAGCATGGACACTCGCTCTACGGTCACCCCCCTTACCAGGGCGCGTAAAGCCCTCTTCATAGCCTGACTATTTGGTTCTGTCCTCCTCGTTTGAACAAATCATACTCTCAAAGTCGTATCTCAAGTCCGACAGCCCAGGCCCCTCAGAGTCCAGCTCGTTTCCATCCTCATCAAGATAGATGTAATCATCTACTGAAATGTTGACGGGCTCTTCCAGCTCTTCTATCTCACTGCCACCCTCGGATAACTCCTCCAAGTCTGACGGCTCTTCTGTCTTGGACCAGTATTCACCCCCACGCATGCGGGTATGATCTGCACAAAGCTGATAGTCAGTTCGGAATGTTGAGTTACTACCAAAGATGAACCCGTGAGATGCATCCTGGGGAGCAGAGCGGTCGTCGGCGTGGGAGGGGATACCAGGGGAATTGATGGAGTTGCAAGGACACGAGGCATCATTGCAGAACTCGTCTTGTTCTGGGTGGTCCTCAGTGTCGAGATTGTCTGAAGGTACGGCCACTTCGGTGCTCGGCACTGGCTGCGCTCCTACCGGGATAGGCCTGACACTAGTCCCGCGAGAAAACAGACGAATTGTGGCCAGGAGCGCCAATCTTCTGATATCGGCACCTGAGAGACTGGCCAAGTGTCGCTTGTCTTCTTCACTGAACTGTTCAAATAGGTGAGCAGCGTTGCTTGCGTCCATTTTGATGTACTTTGGTACTTTGAAAGAGAGAGTATGGTGTCGGAACCTGGTGTTTCGGTCTGGTCTTTCGAATGGTGTTCTTCTCGTGTAAGTTTTTGAACTTGTTTGGTCGGGAGTTGATGCGTTGTAGATGAGTCTGATGACTTCTCTAAACTCACAATTTGACTGCATGGTGAGTGCACTTAAATAGGATAATTCTCGCGGTGCCACGATGGTTGAGTGCGGTCTTATTGTTATCAGAGGGCTTTGAGAGAAAGACTTCGGAACAAAAAGATCTTCGGGACAACGGCATTATCTCGAGAAAGTTGAGGGGTGGCCGAGGACATTGACAATGAATGGCTTTGTTTCCAAACTCATTAGAAGCCCTCATGGTTACGACTACGCTCTTGAATCCAGGTTTGTTACAATCTTCGCCATTGTTTCATTCTCTTCCAATCTGTTTGTGTCTGGTTAAATAAGCTTCCGTTCCCCGGCCTAGACATGGATTGCTACTAATGAGTACCGGACTTGGTGTAGATGTCGCTGAAGCCTTACCTCTTCGATGAAGTCAATGTGGTGAACCACCTTCCTAAAGAGGCAATGGGAAGTCCGCACCAACTATTGGTCCCGAGACATATCTTACGGCGCAGCTAGACGCCCGGTGAGGGGACTTTCTTCCGGGCTTACATACAGGGGCTTACGGCATTTGTTTGGCTCTCATACTTAAGTCGCAACCGAGCTTCGTGGCCTTCAATCACACCTTCATTCTTACTGAATACGACGCACTGACTGAGATGAAGCATTTTCGATTTCCAATCGTGGCCCTGTGGGCATCCCAAGCCTTCGGACAAGACATAGCACAGCGCCCCCTCCATGAAGAAAACCAAGCTGTCGGAGATGTGCCTCGCGTAGTTTCAAAGGACCTTGATGAGTTTATTGAGCGAATTCGGGAGGAGTGGCATGCTCCAGGTCTAGCCGTTGCAATTGTCGACGGGAACAACACTTGGGCAAAGGTAAAGATCGCCCCGCCCCCTCGTTTCGACTTCGCGTGGTCTCGAGTGCAAGAGTTGACAACACTTCACAATTGGCAATGGGGGACTGATGTTCTCAGGGTTATGGCTACGCCGTTCTCAATTCTACACCCGTCACCCCGCACACGCTTTACTACACCGGCAGTACCACCAAGTCCTTCACTGCCGCCGGCATCTCCCTTCTCATCGACAATGCAAGCGCGACCTCGTCAGTGTACCCTGGACTCAGTTGGAAGACGCCGGTATCCCACATTCTCCGCGATGACTTTGTTCTCAGCGATGAGTGGGCTACGGCTCACATCACTCTCGAGGACGCTATGAGCCATCGGACAGGCTACCCTTCCCATGATTTGGCACCAGCCACTACGGCTCAGGAGACTACCCGCCTGTTAAGACATCTACCAATGGCTGCGGAACCACGCACGACCTTCTTGTACAACAACAAGATGTTCGGGGCTATGGGCCATCTTATTGAGGTCTTGACTGGATCATGGCTGGGCGATTTCTTCCGAGAGTACCTGTGGGAGCCTATGGGCATGAACGAGACGTTTTTCTCTCTAAGAGATGCAGAACAGAGTGGCTTGGTTCTCGCCAAGGAGTACTACTACAATCCAGATGACGGAAGCTACCTGCAACTACCGCACGAACCTTCTTCTGGCGAAGAAGGCGCAGGTTCCATTGTGTCAAACGTCCTCGACTATGCCAAGTACCTGCGCATCATGATGACCGAGTCCGCGCCGATCTCCAAGCCGGGACATCGAGAGGTGAAGACGCCGCGCACTTTGGTGGCTCCTGCGATGGAACCGTTTACTGGACCTGTGAGCTATGCCTTGGGGTGGTACACCGCCATTTTGGGAGGCGAGCAGGTGTATTTCCACAGCGGTGGAGTCAACATGTTTATCTCGATGATGATGATGATTCCTTCGCAGCAGATAGGCGTGATCGTCTTCACCAACACGGATGTCAAGGCTCCGCAGGTGATTGCGACCCATATTCTCTCGGAACACTTAGGAATTCCTAAAGACAAAAGACCGGATATGAACAAACAGTAAGTTTCCTCCAAGGTCTTTGGCTATTCGGAGGCCTAATGAAAGAAAAGATACACAGATAGGAAGAAAGCTGAGCTGGAACATTTGCAGGCTTGCGCAAGCGAGCTGTACCCTTCGCTTCCGGCCCCGCCTTTGTTACCAACATTGCCCATCCCAGATCACGTCGGGGAATTTCATAACACTGGGTTTGGCACTCTCGAGGTAGTCTTGGATTGTTCGAATTCCGTTGTCAAATGCGAGCTTCGTGTTCTTGGAATGGGAGGGGAGGCGTTTGCGCACCTTGCACCGATGATATACCTCGAGCCAATGTCTGGCAATCATTGGCTTGGTCGAGGATACATGGGAGGAAAGAAGGCACAGACAGTTGGCATCCCGATACTATGCGTACCCGTTGAGTTCAAAGTCAATATTCTTGGCAAGGTCTCGCAAATTGGTGTCGGGCTGAGGCTGGAGGGGGGTGATGCGCCGCTTGTCTGGTTTGACCGCGTCATTGTTCCGTTAGAGGCATGATCAATGCTTTGGTAGATCTCAGGACATGCTTCGCGGAAAGACATGTAATATTCTCATTTATTTGTCTGGATTCGCAAGCTATGGCGGACAGCATTTCATGTCTTTCACCGAGTCCCGACACGACTGGGGAGACCTACACAAAAATAAAGCATTTGAATCCCTATCCAAATCGATGCAACTAGCCCTTCAACTATAAGAGTCCCGATCGGGCCCGAAGAGCAAGCCCAAGATGCCACCGTGACGGCATTCCCGGCACGGAGCATTCGGTGGTGGGGCCGATAGCAGGTCCCCACGGCGCCAGTAAGGTACCTGATCGTCTAGTGTGCGACAGAAATAAGTCTGCGGTTTTCCTCCTACAAACTCCTAATTGAAGAATCGAGTTGAGAGCTTTGAGTCACTAGGCCATTTGCCGCATGATGCCGCCCTCCAGAAATACTTCCCATGAGGAAGACAAGAGCTCTTCAATGAGTGAACAAGAACGGAAGTAGGTGGAGTTGCGTGGTGAACGCCAGCACCCCATTACCCCCAACGAAAATCGCTAACGAGGGGTTGCTTCAACCTAAGACGACTGCGCAACCGGCTATCACAGCAGGCTTTCCGTCGCAGGCAAGCGGAGCGCATGAGAGAGCTTAGTAGCAGAGTGAACACCGACCAGAAGTCCGACAATGAGCGGATCGAGGAACTTCAGCGTGAGAACAGGCAGTTGCGGGCGCAACTCGTCGATGTTCAGGCAAGGATGTCGCGACTGCTTGCCAACATTCAGGGTTTGAGCGACTCTGTTTCAAAGACTTTGAACGACACAGGATCTCAGGACAACAAAGTTCTCGAGGAAACAGAACATCACCCGTTACAGCTCTCAACATACGACAAGAAGCAGACTGATTACGAAGGGCCCCCTTTTCCAGGACCATCTATGCAATTGGAACCTTTCGACACATCATCACTGAACTTTGACCCGCCGCTTGCCCATCATCCTGGTCCAGGTAAGCGATTCAAGATCTTGAGATTCATCGATCAGCAACTGACGGTACTCCAGGTCAATCTGAGGATGCATTTCTATCGTCGGAACTCATCAATGTGACCGGAACCAGCCCCCTCTATACCCAGATCCCCAACATCTGGAGCTTCGAGTACCAAACTGGAATAGAGCCGTACCTGACTGCCATGGCTGCATCTCAGGAGTCCAGCATGGCAATGAGAAAAGACATGCCGATATCAAATTCGCCGTTCTCAGACCACATCAAGCTTCTCCAGCATCTTCTAAAGAGCAAGCTGGCAGCAAGCGGCTTCAATCCGGACAGCCAACCGTCGATGCAGAGGTGAGTAGACCTTATGTCATAAGGACGCAAGACTGACAACCATGTTCAGCATATATCAACCAGTTCTCATGGTCTTGTCCATGTTTAACAGTATGACGCGACCGGATGTCATGGCATGGTACGCCAAAACGCGCTTTTTCCACATCATCGAGCTTACGGCCTGGCAACTCTACCCCTCGCCCGCGACATTCCAAAAGCTACACCAGCGGTATCGGCCTACCGACACGCAACTGAAGCATCCGCACCCGCGCGTGATAGACTGGATACCGTTCCCCTCGATCCGGGACCGATTGATAGAGCTCCACGCCGCCAATCCTCTTATCGACCAGATATTTTGCGACGCCGTCTCGGGATACGTGGTGGAAGCGGTCATGTCCGAATTGATAAGGGACGCGCCTCAAATTACAGTTTACGTCCGGGTGACGGACCTTATCGCAGCCATGTCATTGTCATCCGGTGCCGGCGACAACGATACCCCAGCCAGTCTCCCCGCCCCGGATATCACCACTCTCTTCTCGTCTCCGTCTCATGCTCGTGCAGCGTTCAAGCAGTTGAACATGGATAAAGGTGCATCGTACTACAAGATTGACCCGGCCTTTTACGCCAAATATCCAGAACTCTACGACCAGTCAAACGACCTCACAGCAAACGGCGTACCACTCAAGCCAAGATCGCAAAAGGTTCTTACGTACCCGAAACCCCTCGACGACTCCATGGTTGAGACCTACCGGAGTTTCATAGACTTTTCCATGGATGCCACCAGCACCATCTCCTCAACGACGGCCTCGTGATGTGTGTCTTGGGCCACCTCTTCCCCCCGCATTGTACTGCACTGCACGGTCAACCAAACACTTCATGCTTTCCCGAGCACCGGAACCCCGGACTGTCAACCCGCACCTATCCGTTGTCACGCCGCATGTAACCGTCAAGTTTTGCAGGTAATCTCAAGGACCATGACATCCGTAGTTTCGGGAAAGTCTGATAACGCTTTTTTTTTGTTGAGCGCTGACCCACCGCGATCGCACTGACTATCGTTGACTAACGTTCCACTTACTAACGCTCGGATTTTGTCATCGTCTGAAAGCTTCGGTGGGCTTTGCGGTGGGGATGGGGACTTCTATATAGAATTACCGGGAAACTGGACCAGATTCTCATGATTCCGGTGACTCGTTTGAATCTCGTTGTTGTTTTTCGTCTCATCGCCTATTTACAGCATAACATGCCTTCACAATTCCCCGCTCCCACGGCGACTCCTCGCTACAGCTTCTTGGACGATTACAGCGAAGGAGCTCACCCGGCCCTGCTCAAAGCCATTCTCGCCGGCAACACATCTCAAGAAGCCGGCTACGGAGGCGACTCATATTGCGACCTTGCCAGGCAACGGATACGTCGGCACTTGGGTCGCGATGATGTTGGAATCTTCTTCGTCCCCAGCGGGACATCAGCCAATGCCATATCCATCGCAGCGTGTCTAAGACCCCACGAAGCTGCCATTGCCGCAAGCTCAGGACATATTGTCACAAGAGAGACTGGTGCGGTGGAAGCTAGCGGGCACAAGATTATCAACGTCGCGCCAGTCAATGGCAAGTTGACACCCCAGAGCATTCAACGCGCGGTGGACGAGAACTGGCATTTCCCCCACATGGCAAAGCCGAGGTTGGTGTACATCTCTAATGCGACGGAGATTGGGACGATATACAAGAGAGACGAACTTGCTGCAATCAAGCAGGTTTGCGAACAAAACCAGCTGATACTCTTCCTCGACGGCGCACGCATCGGGACAGCAGTAGCGTCAAAATCAAACGACATGACGCTGCACGATATCCTGGAGTTGACAGACATCTTCTGGATCGGAGGCACAAAGAATGGAGCTTTGCTTGGAGAAGCTGTGGTCGTCAAGGACGCTCGTCTAGCGACCGAGTTCGAGTTCTACGTCAAGCAGCATGGTTCGCTTCTGGCCAAGAGCAGAATCATGGGCGCGCAGTTTGCAGAGCTTTTCAGAGAGGATCTCTATTTCGACCTCGCGCGGTTAGCTAATTACTGCGCCGAGACGTTGTCCAGCGGTATTGCTGCAGCCGGGTTCTCGGTTCACGCTGTGACGGAGACGAATCAGGTGTTTGCGGTGCTGCCCATGAGCTTGATCAAGGTTTTGCAGGAGCACTTCATCTTTTATGTATGGGAGAAGCGAGGGGATGATGAGGCTGTGGTGAGATTGCTCACAACGTGGGCGACGGAAACGACAGAGGTTGAAAAGTTTGTCGGTTTGGTTCAGGGCTGGTCCGCTGGAGCTGCCGACAGTCGAATTTAATGTTTCCAAAAATGAACAATACCAATTAGAACATACATTACTTCAGCGTCTCAATGGCCTTTTCAACATCGGGAATCTCAGAGGCAGTCGTGGCGGGACCACCCCATGTAACCTGACCCTTCCCATCAACAGCCCAAGCTCCGGAAGTCTGCCATCTGTTGCCGCTCTCAGTGGGCCTATTGGCGATGCCCTCTTCGCGAGAGAGCTTGAACACATCCGAAAGCGCCCAGGGACTCAGTACGTGCCAGAAACTCGATGCGCCGAGTCCCCATTTGGCGTACACGTCGCGCTCTTCGTTGGCGATGACTTGGACCGGGTTCTTATCGCCGGGTCCGCCGACGTCGGACAGCCATTTCTGTGTGTGCGACTCTGACGAGTGAGAGACGGCGATGAAGGCGATTTCGGGATGCTTCGATGCTGCTTCGCGGAGCGTGATGAAGGTCTTCTCGGCGACTGGTAGGTGAGGTATGTGAGTCTCACTGACGATCCTACGGAACGAACCCCTTTCTATCGTTTGGGTCATTGACTAACATGGGCATCCACAGTGCCGCAGGAAAGCGATTACAGCGGGTTTACCGCCATCCCTGGGCAATGTGAGCTGGTCGGTGCTCGGGGCCGCGTCGCCCGCTTTTGGTGGGTTGGACAGGGTCAATGATGTTGGGGACATCCATGACGTGAGCTCCTGCATGAAAGACATGGCGCAGCTGAGTTCTATAAGTACAATTGTTGCAATTGGGACGATGTTGTTAAGAGAATGTGTAATCCCCAAGAATGAAAGTCTGCAATGCCCATGTCGGTGTTGGACCTCGACGAGAACGACAGCGCTACTCCATCACGTCATGGTTTGTCATCACTTGACACCATTCAGACTAGGCCGATGCTTGCCCCGGCCGGAGTGGAGCAAAGGGATCTCGGCCGAGTCCGTGGCTGATTTGATGCGGAGCTGTCTTTTCAACATTCAAGTTCAACAGGTGGATATTGTCACGAAAACTGAGTGAAGAGAGTTCGGCTCTCTTAGACTGGCGGTTATTTGAGAAACTCTATCGTAAAGTACACAACCATCCGAACGCAATGAAGATAGTTATCCGAGACTCGATCAATGAGGCAAACAACCAATTCCATTTCGGCGCCAACAACAAAAAAGACCTAGGAATTCTTCAAATATCGGCATATGTATGTCAAAAACTAAAGCAAACTTGGCATGTAGATACAAATCAGTATCTATCGTCGCTTCCTCGGGGGGCCCTCATCGATCTCGAACACAGGCTTGCGCTTTTTGATGACCTCGAGTGCTCTCCTCGACATACCGGGTGGAGCGGCGTCTTGTTGGGCACTACATTCTCCTTCCTCTGATTGTTTCTCTTGAAGCGCACTACCAACTGTGTCCTTGGCGCTGTTCTGAGGCGGGTAAGCAGCCGGTAGAGTTGATTCATCTGAGGCAATCACCTCTTGCCATGTTCGGGCTATCTCCCTCATGATCTTTTCGTCCTTGCGACGTCTGAGATCGGCCTCCAATCTGCTCAATTGTTGCGTCTTTGAACTACTTGCCTTACTCTCCGGTTCCTTGCCTTTAGTGTTTCTGTTACAGCTGATTCGAGATTCTTCCTCCTCGAGCTTCGTAGCGAAGCTGGGCTGATTGACCTCGTCAAGTTGATTGATCATGTTTTGAAGAAAGGTTGCCGTCGGAGTGGGCTCGAATACTTCCTTCTCCTCGGACTGCTCCTCTCTTGCGACTTCTTTGGCCTTTTCTATGGTGTCAATATGAGGAGCAATGTCGTCTTCTGCCGGTGGTTTCGGAACCTTTCGAGGGCGATTGGCCCAGATAGGCATCTTATACCGGGCTAGAAAAGGGGTCAATAACATTTTACCCAAACTGATCGCAAGACTATACTCACGAGCAACCTTTTTCCTAGGATCCCAGTTGACAATGCGCCTACCATTCTCTTCGTTCTTTTCCTGTACTAGAACCGCACAGATGAGATTTTCGCAATGGGTGTCAAGGTACGTTCTTAACTCCTCATCCCCAACAATACCTCCGAGGAAGGGTTTGAACTTGGAGTAGATGGGATTGCATGATCCGTAAAGCATCGCAGCTGGGTTCTCACGAGTAAGAAACTTGTGAGGTAGACTTAGAGACAGAATAGTACGAAGTATACTCACCTGTTAAATCGTAGGCGAAGCCATCTGAAGCCACGAATGCGTCGTATTGGATATCACGGCCCTCGTCGGTATGTCCATCGAACATTCTGAGTTCCTCTGGCTCGATTTCCGGAAGACTATAGCCTATTTCCTCGACTGTTGCTACAATGTAGCCCCTGAGACAAGCAAAGCGCATGAGGGGCCCGTCCTCATACTCTTCTGCTTGCAGAGCCTCCGTGGCATCGAGTCCGAGGTAGGGAGAAAGAGAATCTGCAAGGTCGGGGAACTTTTCATGCTCCTCTGAGTCTTTGAAAGCTGCACCATCAGGAAGTCAGCATATTTTCAAAAGCCTGATTTCGTGACGATATCATTTAAGCTCACCTTCCACCGAGAAGACCTCCCTGCCGAATCTGATTTCATGTGGAAGCACAGGCCTGTCATTAACAAGACTTTCCACATCATCATCTGCATATTCTTGTCGCTGCTCGATCAAATTGCCAATGTACAGCTCCTGCAAGCTTTTGAGAACTCGGTTGCGATTCGTTTGGTGGTACTTATTGAAGAGATCTGTAATGTCTCGTCCACCATTTTCGACCAAACACTGGAGCCCCCCTGGATGTGTTTCAGCATAGTCTGCCATATGATCAGTCATTACCCTTTTAGTTCTTTAGCCTTAGCCATCTCTCTACTTACCGGTGATGTTGTAAACCTTGTTCTCAATCGCAACGTACAACCCTGTTTCTCTGAACTCGTGTCTTCTGAGTGATCGGGGCGTGAAGGTTCTGACAGAATGCTTGTCGGCAACTACGCCTGGAGTTTTGGCTACCATGCCAACCCGCCACGGTGCAAGAGATTTCTTGATCTCGTCAAGAGAATACCCATCTTGCAGTAGTTCAAGAGATGGATCTCCACCTGGGTTACTCGCCAAGAGCCTCCGTAGTCCCGGCTCTGATAAACACTTCAAATCTGTCTGATGTCAGCGGTCAATCAATGTGGGTTGTGTCTGCAATCCTACGCACGAGTAATATCGAAAACGCTGTTGTGTATGCGGATCCATAACGGATCCCCACCGGTTCCATCACATTGAGCAATGTCATCTTCCCGCAAGATGCGAACCACTCGCCCCAAGGGCAAGGAAAGTATGTCAGCTTCGTAGAGACATTCCACTCCATAATCAGTCAACTGAGTGCCGTAGAAAGCGGGCTTCGTGAACTCAGGCAGTTCGTCCTCATCAAGCTCGAGCGATCGACAGATGGCAGAACATTTGTGAACATCCAGGTGGTGCCCATTCTCGACCAGAATCAGCTCATCTCCGAGTACTTTCGCGTGATCGTACAGCTCAGCCACTGTGTAGTATGGTAGCTGATATCGTTGATGACTCTCACCCTGCTTTGAAGGTACAGTGACGATGCCAGCCTTCGCAAAAGCCGGCAAGTCTAGGGAGGGGTGTTTTGCCGGGTCTTCTCCGTGGAATATCTCGGCAGCTCTGTCTCCACTGTCCTTGTCTGTAGAGTTCCCAGGATTTGCACCTGAACGATGAAAGTCCAATAGTGAAAGTGCCCTACCATCGTAGGTTTGCCCAGGGTATTGAGGCACTTGAAAACGGAAGTCAAGCCACGAGGTGTAGCCGTTTGCAAAGTCGGCATCCAATTGGGCTCTTAAGCTTGAGCATTCGGCTACAAAGGCGTCTCGCAAACCGGCTGGCTCTATGCAGAGTGACGTGTATGTATTGAATGCGGTCTCTGCTAGATCAATGTTACTGTGGCGATCACTGCGTGCCAAATATGGGTCGTTGGGATCTTGCATGTGTCGCCTTACTAACTTGAACGGCGGGTAAAACCATCTTTCCGCACATGCTGTTTTAATCTGTGTCTGGATGGCGTCTTTTGTTGACTGACTGAGCGGGAGACTTTGGGAGATAGTCCAAGGGTTCGATAGTAGTCGTTTTGGCTGTTTCGCCGGTACGACTTCCTCTGCTCGTGCAGGTAGCGAGGCTAGCAAGAGAAACCCTATGGCCCGCCAGAACCACTGCGTCTTATTCTCATCATGAATGCGAGCTTGAAAGTTTCGTGGAAAAACTTCATATTCGAGTACGCCGTATTGGTTATAATCCACGTATAGCGGGTGAATCAATACATTAACTAGACAATCTGTGTCAAATTCGTCACGTTGGTTCCTGCGAGCTAGCGGAATCGTTAGACATGAAAGTCTGTGTCGAGGATCGACCTGGCTGTAAGGCGTCATCTGCCACATTGCGAATGTGTCTTTGAACCACGGGCGCATTCTCTGATACTTGAGCCGCCGGCTGTGCAAACTCCTCGCTGACATCCTGAGCTCATCAGCCTGGAAATTTTGAGGGACGAAGCCTTGCTTGAACCAAGCCGACTTTTCGATAGTCCAAACCCAAGGTTGGTAAAAGCCCCGATTTCCGTTCTCTCTCGTGACCTCGAGCATTTTGGGTGCCTTCAGGCTCGAATAACCATACTTGGAAACGATTTGAGTCCAGAAAGCCTCGGAAGAAAGGGAAGTATGCCAAAGTGATGGCAGAGGCCAACTCGTTTTGATGGTGGGGCTATCCAAAAGGAAGTCATAGGTAAGTGTAGGATCAGATACATGAGGGAACCTGTTGATGGATAGAATCAATGGCGCATAGTTTATGCTGAGCAAGTTTCTATCGCGTTTGGGGATAAGTCCAAACACAATGCCTCCAAATGCATGTTGTTCAAATGACCACCCGAGCTCGCACTGGTGTTCCTGTGGGCCGAACTGGCAAAAATCATTCTTATCAGCAGATCTAGCGAGTAGAATATTCAGGTTACTTACGATCTCAAAACCGTGAAGCGGGACTCCTAATTTTTGTAGCAGGACCTCACTGCTCAAGTTCTGAAAACCAATCACATGCTATAACGAGGGTGTCCCAGCGTTAGTCGATTCTGATACAGGTGTCCTCAGGAAAAACACCCAAAATCGGTGTGGAGTTACCATGAGTTCGTGAACTAGCTGTACAAAGGAGCGCATTAGTAAGTAGCAAGTAAAAGGCTCGCGAGATTGCAGACTCACAGTGTCTGCAAGACACACCAGCGCCGCACTCTTAGAAGATTGAGTGGCGTTTGCATCCAGAAGCGTCTTTATCCCAGAAATGTTGACGAAGACCGTGATTGGCCCTTCCGATAAATCGTATGGTGCCGTCAATCCCTTGATGATTCCGTCCGGCTGATATGAGTTCAAGGTTGTTTTGTCGTTGAAAGTCCAAAATATTCTGTTCAAAAGGGAAGGCGAGGACAGCAGCTGGATCAGTTCTTTCGCAGGTTTGCGAATGATGGGAGATGATTTCATTCTCCAGATTTTGCCGACCTTACTCGAACCTGACAGAAGTGTCGTTTCATGGCTCTCAAGGTTTTCCGGGATGAGCAGAGATTGTAGCCTGAAATGAAACGCGCAATGTTAGCTCTGTCTTGAATTACACCCTACCTTGCTCTTGTCTACAGTATGATGTCAAGTCTTTTTGGAATGTGTAATTACCAGTCTCCTTCGAGGGATTTCCGCACGATGTTATCAGCAATTTGTATCGCCTTTTTAAGAACGCCCCAGATGACCGGATCGTGCGCGCTCCAGAGACGCGATCCAGACCAATTGGTGGACGAACTGGGAGGCGCAATGAAGTCAATCATCCAACGGTCCCTTGACCAAACAGGCAGCCAGGACGACTCGTCGACTTGTATTTCGTTGCTATTCATTGCTTGCCTCTCGCCCGTTGCAGTATAGGCTTCCGTCTTTGCCAGTACCGCAGCTTCCCAGGTTCGCAACCCCGAGAGACTTGAAAGTTGCTGTCGCTCCGAGAGGAGGAGATCGTCCAGCTCGGGAGGAGACGGTTGTGGAATTATGTCAGAGTGTGGTTCGATGATCTCGAGTGTCTGCGGATCAAGAGATGGGAAGATTGGGTCCATCCATGATAGGCCATTCTGTCGCAGCGGGCGTGTCTCGCCAACGCCATAATACCTTTCCCAGCAACTTTCTGAAGAGTCAGGCATTCTGGGGATGTTCAGTCTCTGACAGAATGAGTGATGCCGAAGACCAGTCTGCGTCTGAGTTCAAGACAAATTCGAGTATTGAGCAGGTAGTGGAAAAGTAAGTCGAGCGGTTGAGTGAGAGCCTTACAACTCAGAATAGAGATCAAGTCTTTTGGTAGATCGGATTGGAATGGAAAGACGAGCGAGGCACATAAACGCCTCTCAAATGACTGAAAACAGTCGAGCGGTACAATTTTGGATCACGTTCAGCATTGTAACTGAAAATAGAGGAGCAAAAACCCAAGGATTCATGGAACCTTGGTCTTGGGCGCAAAGAACTGTTCAATGAACCTTTCGGCAAGGGGTCAACGTGGGCTTCCTGTTCCTTTGTGTCCCCGCCGATGGGATGCGTGGCCGGGGTCCTGGTCCCTTTCCGGATTCAGCGACATGGCACTGCGAATTTGTGCTATGTTTCCAGAACAATGAATTACAAATGCTTCGGATCATGGGCATGGTAGGTAGCCGAAACTGACTTGCGAGACGCACAAAGCCCAGAGTGGAAGAGGAACTATCTGCTGAGACCACGGGTCTGGTAGGGCCAAGGTCTGGTACGCAACCTCATGTAAGATATTGAACGTGAAACAGCTTTTTATTAGTACTCTTAGAACATCCCAGCAATGCCAATGCCAGGCGATGGTCGTTGAAGAGGTGTTGGAATTCGGCACCGTATTCTGATGTGGCAGATTTTGACATTTCTCGCGAAGGCGGGGGACATTACTGTTCGGCTTTCATGCGGGCAAAAGTGTTTGGAAGATGAACAACCTTAAGTTCGAACACATAGGTGCGTCATGAAATCTCGAATACACGCTTAACAACCTTCTACCGAGTCATCATTCAGATCAGTTCTGTTCCCTCATCAATCCGGCCTCAATCTTCCACACGCGTCCTTGCCATCATCACCGATACATGTACAAGTCCTTCCACTCCCATTCTTGCCTCGGCTTCTCTGTTCCCCTTGAACTTGTTCTGCTTGAGCCTTCAATCCCAGACGAGGGACCACCAGCAGAGCCACGAGATTCTTTGACTACCTTCTTGTACGGCCGTACCGGAGTCGGCGAGCTCTTCCGTTTCACGCCTGCAGCTACTTGTTCTGGCAGTGCAAAACGGCTTGTAGTAGCAGCCTTGATGCTCTTTTCCTGCACCTTAAGCTGCCCATTATGCTTGCGTTTCGTGCCGGCCACGCTCTGGATTGGTTGGACAATCTGGTCTGAAGCACGATTCGCATTGCCCTTTTCAGCAGCTTGAGCAAATGACATAGCAGGTGTGACTTTCGAAGTTTCATCACCTTCCAAGTCAGGCACATCTTCGGAGATCGGCCTGAAGGCCCTTTTCCAATCGAAATCAGCATCTTGATTCGGACCATGCTGTGCTATAATTCGATATTGGAAGTCTGACCACAGCCTTCGCTTCAGTTCTTGGTCTTGTGATGAGTTGGAGAGCGTTGTTCCGGCACGAGGTTTCAAAAGCTCATTGTACCCGTCAGGTTTTCCGTATCTGAGGTATGCTGGTGGAGTTTAGTCACTCGAGCAGACAATTAGTGCCGACGGCAATACTCACAAGTCAAGTTGTATATGTACTTGCTGTCAGAAACGTAGGATTCACGGAAGCCCCAGGGCTCAACTTTGCCGTCCATCCGCGCCAACATTTGATCGTCCATGAAAGGCAGTGTGTCTATTGGCGCGACAACCTTGGCGACAACAAGCCATTTTGTATCAAACAGTCTGCAAAGTATTTTTGGCGGGCTTGCTGTGTCCATCTGGGCCGTCACATCCTTTCCCCAGTATTCTTCAAGTTCTTCAGATGCCAGGAGACCCCTTAACCCGTTTAAGGCGGTACCTGACAGCCTTGAAAGATCCGCTAAGCGACTACTGTCAGTAGGAACTTCATCTTTAGTCCGGAAACGTGTTCTATACTTACCCTTTCGGCTGAAGACTTGATTTCGAATTACAATTTGATCCGGAGATATAACGCCTGGGCTTTGCTCAGGGACGATCTTACCAACTTGCAGCCTTTCGAAATAGACATGTGTAGTGACACCAAGGAAACCCGTCGGGACTCGATGGTACTGCTTAAATTCACGTGTACAGTCTTTCCCGGCGACGCTCTGCAGAATCTCCATACCACCAGGATGAAATTTCATGAAGTCTGTTTGATCAGCATTGAGTACTCGACCTGAGTCTTTGAACCTGTACCGAACTTACCTGTAAGATCTATTACCGAATGCCCTCTGAAGATGGTGTAGATCCCTGTCTCTGGGTAAACGTGCCACTTGACTTCGTTCAATGTGAAATGGCGTAATCGGTAAACGCTGTACCTGTCAAGCTCTCGCGTCCTGATCCCAATCTGATAAGGCCGAAGGAAGTTGACGATAACATCAGGATTATATCCTAAACTGACTGCCCTGAGGAGAGGATTTTCCTGTCGTTTTTGCTTAATAATCACCAGTAAAGGTTGCATGTGTTCTGCCAGTTGGAAGTCTGAAAGATCAGCGTACGAGCCTATGAGCAAGTCTCGAGAATTCCAAACCAAGAATAAACTTACTTGTCAGATCACACGTCAGATCAAAAACGTGGTTACCCAAGGCTACACATGACAAGCGGTCTCTGTTGTAAGCCAGTCTGATATCTTCCGTGCGCATGAGCTGCATCACTTGTCCAATGGGCCCATTTTTCAAACACAATTCACGGACCTTCTCGTTCATGTCTCCTGTGCGAAGCACTCTATTCAAGACAGGACTGGAGGAATCTGGCCTCATTGTCAGTTTCTCTCGAGTTGCAGCATTCCACCCATATTCCGACGACAATATCCCACTGAGGTCGTAGATTAAATGCCTGTCATCACCGTCGGCTTTGTGGACAAACCACTTGACTCCGCTACCGACGCGTTGATGATCACCAATTTCGCCTACATAGTAGTGGCGAAGCGGCGGGGTGATCTCAGCAGATTTGCCTCGCGACGGGACCGGCACTTGAGCGATCACCGGTCTCGCGACAGCCCAGGATGGAAGATCGGCGTCGTCAAGGTCAATCTTCTCCGATGGAAGTCCTTGAACCTGCGATGCTCCGATAGGGTAATGCGTCTCTTGAGTGACGTGGGTGGGCAAGTCTCGGTAATTGTAAGTTAACCACCCATGGTCATAGGGGGATTGATCCATCATTCTCCTTATATCACGCCAGTCATACTTGAAACCTTTAGCCACCTCAGGTGACACATTTCCGAGAACTTTCCATCGTAAAAACGACAGTTTGGCGTTTTCCATGCACAGCTCTTTGTTGTGGCTAGGGGTATTGGAGTTGTGCAGGTACGTTTCCGTCGCTACTGATGTTCTTTTTCCCTGATTAGTAGCAAGGTCAATGACCTCCTGGCCTCCAGCAGCTTTGGGTATGCTCAGTCTTTCGGGATGCAGTGGCCTTGAGGTCGGACGACTGGATGGCGTAGGCTTCTTCCTGACGGGCAGCGTTGCCAACCACAGATATGCGTAGGCGTGGTAGAGGAACCTCGATGTCGCTTTGTGTCGAATCTTGAATTTGGCGACATCGAGACTATGGTTATATGGCCACAAGACGCTCTTGAGCTGGTGCCGAATATCGGATTCGTGTGTGTCGTGATGGGATTTAGACGAAGACCCAATGTCGGCCAATTTGCATCGCAGTTGAGTCTCGGCATATATCGTAGCATGCCATTTGGTGTCTTTTCCTTGTACCATGGCCTCAGCCTTCGGAGCTCCAATCGTCTAAGTCTCAAGCGCTCAGCAATCATTCTCATACTATGATCAAGGCGACCGTATTCCGAATAAGGGGGGTCAAGAATCTTGGCTCGTGAGGTTCGTGCGGCGTCTTGATAATGGCTCTCCCAAACCCGTTCAGAAACACAGACGCCCTTGTATCTCAGTGCCTTGTATCCGTATTTTGGCACATGCGTCTCCCAGAAGTCAGAAGATGTCATTGCGCAAGGGACGATGGCAGGTATGCCGGGCCGATGTTCCCGAAATGCTTCCGTGAGAGGCCCTTTGTCGTAGGTATCCATCTGACCGACGCTTGACACGCAGAAAGCTGGCCAAGGGGCACGTATGCCGAAGAGGGCATGACCAGCCTTTTGGGGACCGCTGGGGACGTCCTTCAGGGAAAATCCAAAGAATGACATTTCCCAAGAAATGCCCGCCTCTGCATACTTCTCTTCGTCCCAAAACTTTACTCGCGACCACATAAGCAAGAGTTTGCGCGACAGAGGTGTTAAATTTTACTTACAGCTTCGGTCGCCATGAGCGGTTCCTCGGGATGCTTTTCTTGATACGATCTGTGCATGTGGCCAGATATACCATGCTATATTTTCCATTTTCAGTGAAGTTACCTCGGCAGAGGAAGATCTTGGCATAATACCATTAATTCATGCAGTATCTAGCCAAAACAGAAACTAGTCAATACCTATTAACATCAGAGGAAGGTTGGAATGGAGATCTAACTCACAGTCTTGGTCACCAGAAACGTTGCCTGGCGGCCTTCAGGGTCCTGGAACATCATGTTTTGGAATATCGGCTGGAAATACTCGATACCAACACGCATCCACTTGAGCAGCCTCCCGTTCTTGTCAATGAGCTTTGATGTCAATCCAATAGCTGAAGGCGATTCCTCTCTAAGATAGAATCCCCAAAAGAAAGTGTCGGCGATGTCGTCAAGAACCTTTCGAGCTTCTGTTGGACTAAGACGGGATTCGGGGCTGACCGGCTTGACGCGGACGATGGTACCCTTCCGAGGGGCCTGATGTTTTGACTCTACCATTACATCCCGTCGAACTTCTCGGGAATCCTCCTTAAGAAAACTTGCCAGCCTAGCGGACATCAAGCGTCAGTGAAATGCAGATGGGCTACAAGTCTTTCTCCAACCGGAGGACAAAGGCCTCTGATTCTGTTCGTACGTGTCAAGTGGGAACACACCATTCATGACTGACTGCTTCTTTCAGAATTCTGTTTGCAAGCTCGATGACTCTGCTTATTTTGGCCCAGGTTGCGTCGTCGTCGATATCGATCGATAGCCCGTTGGGGTCGGGGTGCTTGTAACTCGACCATCTCTCCCTTCGGAAGATCTTGAACCACTTCGTTTCGTCCACCTCGACAAAGTCACTGGTTGCCCAAGATACGTACGGATACAGTGTCAAACCATCCATAAAGTTTGACAGTTTCTCGCGTGGATCGGCATCAATGAATGGATCGCTTTCGTCTTCGATGGCACCTGTCACGTCCGATACGCGGTAGGTTGGTCCATATGCGTCGATGTCTTGCAGGGCCCAGTATTCTGGCATACGCAGCCCCCCAAGGGCTCTCATTTGAAAAGTCTCGCTGAGGAAAAGCCAGTCGATTGCTACGGATGGCGGTTTCGGTACTGGGGTTTTGTCATCCTCGAAGGCTTCCCTAGTTGTATCCCAGTTGGGATACCGTATCGCCCAGAGGCTCGATTCGGAGCTAACGCCAGCCATTGTGTCGTCCCTGGTGAGGAAATGAGGAAACGAGAAACAAGAAAGAGTAAGCCCGGAAAAGGTTGGGGCCCGTCAAGTTCTTGACATTTTGAGTGATGTACATTTATTCGAGTTGGTTTAAACCTGGACCTCGATATTTCAGTTTTCGGAACATCGTTCCAGAATGCAAACAACATTTTGTCAAGACTCCTTGGACGAGGGCAGGAAGACATGTGAGTCAATCGAGGATAATGCGTCAAGGCTCGCCTCATCAATGGCCCCTTGAGTAATGTTTGTGCAAGCGGCTGCTCAGCGACGTCCCTTTCAAACCGCTAAGCAAGGGGGGCCTCTATAAACAATGGAGAGATTCGTTCCCCATGGACAATGCCTTTGCGAGCAGCATCATAGTCATGTGTAACCCTCCAAGGATAGGGACTGAAAATGAATCATCGGCTTTACATTAGAACATCCTGTTTGTTCAATCTGACTGTGTGACTCAAACATCCAGATTGAGTGAATGCATCATGCCCCGGGACAATGCTTGAGAATCAAATGAGTCTGCAGTCCGATTATTGCAGAGACATCTGTCCAGTCGGCTGAGACCAACATGTGAGGTTCGTCTGGCGGAAGGACTGGGACACGTGAGCCTCGCAATGTGGAGGACGGTATTCATGAGGCAGAATGTCCCGCAAAGAAATTGTAAAATGGGGTAAAGTCCGAACAACTGGCAACCTTGGGTCAGTAGCCATTGTAGCAGTGCCCAAGGTAGGTTAGGAAGCAACTTCGTATTGTGTCGACCACGCCGTGGTGCGGTTTGCCGTGCACGTTTGTATCCAAGACCTGCAATCAACCTCAATGTGTTCAGCGCGCCAATCAGGCCAGCTGGATGACCCGGTCCGCAACTGAGCGGAATCGAATTTCTGAACAGATTGAATGAGAATTGCCATTAGCCCTGTTCACGACGTTGCGACGTCTATTCCGGCGAGGCTTGGTTTGCTCACACGAGACGAGGCTCATGATCATCGCTCCATCAGTTGAACATTTAAGAACTCGGCACTCCACGGATAGTTGTAGTCCAGATGTCATCTTCGTTTGACTGCAGAGTCTTTTCTCTCAAGAACACAAATTTGGCAAACTCAGACTCCATTCTTCTTCTTCAGGATGCGCGTCGCTCACCTCATCAGGTTCGCGGCGGCGATGTCTCTCACCTTCACTGCTGCAGCAGGCATCGCAATCAGGCGCGCAAATACGACGGAACTGCAAGTCCCTCCAACCGACAACTCCCCTCAGGATTTCGAATCACTCCGGGGCGGAGCCTCAGCCACCTGTCACTCGTTTACGATCAATCCGCGCTACTTCACCTTGTTGTACGCAACGTGCCGTGATCACCTGGGCTTTGAGAAGATAGGCCATCTCAACTTGAACCTCTGCCTCGCAAATTCTTGTGGCAACCTTGAGGGTCGCGCAAGGTAAGCCACTGACTGGCAGCGAACCCACATGCTATAAGGTCGCAAGACATTGTGTTCTCTCAAAGCTAATAATGCCGGTTTTCGATAACCAGAGGACGATACGCGGAGAGCTGCTCGGCGAGGACCTGTTCGATTGACGGGCTCACGTTGAAATGCAAATGCGAAAATTGCTATGGTAGATGGAGCTGGACTTCTATCAATCTGAGTAGGTGATTTTCAAAACTTGACAGAAAGTGTTCGCTGACTCAATGCTTCTTAGATGATATTGTTGGAAACGACAATGGAAGTCTCGTTTGCCACGGCCTGATGGGGCTAGGTTAAGATTCCGCATTCTGCGGCGAGGTGGGGCCGCAACGTCGGCCCGGAGTTGATTTATCGACATCCGGGTGCTGCAGATGGGATCTTGGAAGACACAGGCAACACGTAGACTCTTCTCTGCACGTCATGAAACGGTCAAGGCATATATACGGAGGTCATCAGGATCCATGCAGGCCACCGAGTCTACACTTAGTTCAGCAGACAGTTATGTTACCTTGTTCTGGCTTATCCCTCAGCCTCAATCCCAAAAGGCATGATAGTGACATTTTACGGCATCACCGGGGAGAAGCCTATCATATGTAATGACTCTCTCTTCGCAGCAAAACCCAATGCAACGTGGGTGCTTTACCTAGTTACGGTGAGCACGTGCAATGCTCTATGAGCCTAGCCAGTCATCACGTAACCTAGACCTGAATTAGACGTGCGGAAGTCTTCCATCCTCTTCAATATTTATCTGTATAGCATCGATCGGTGGCCATGTTGCGAAGGTAGTCAAGGCCTCAGATGGCCAGGCTTTTGGTATGCAACCGCTGGGTAGCATATTTTCCAGTTGTCGGGGGCTACGAGACTCCAAAAAGTAGACGCAAGCTCTGTAATATGCTGTAGGAGAAACAAGGCAGTCAAGGCAATGACGGGCCCGCTGACAGGTGGGCCATCGGTCGTCTCGACGGCGATATTGTGACAGGAGGCGGTTATCGAGATTTAGAACAGGGTCGGTATCAGGTTTCGTAACTGCGAATGCAAAGTATGAGTAAGGTGATTGACGTCTTGCCGTTTTGGTAGGAGAAGGTGACTGACTCTCGTGATACCACGCTATCGCGTGGCCGGAACAACGTATTGGCAGTAGTAGGTAAGCAGTGTATCAATAAGGGCGGGAGTGCCGTACTGTCGCCAGAGCTGTTTCCCAGCGATTGAGGGATGTCATCACTGAGTTGGGCCAGGACGGGTCGGGCCTAACCATCTCGGAATATACGATGAAAGCAAAAAAGGGAGACGCAAGAAGGGACACGAGAGTTCAGAAGTGTGATGTCTTCGGATTGCATCGCGACATCAGACGCCAAACTTTGTCGGCCATGCCGCGTGGATGGAGGGCAGTTCGCGACATCAACGTCACTGCAGGACCTGGATTGGTCTCTGAGAGGGAGCCAATCGGGGATTGGTATATCGATGATAACACCCGAATAAAAGCCGAGGGGAATAGCGAGTCGGCAAAAATTGGCGTCTAATGTCACTTTTGGCCTTAGGCAGAAGGTACCTGGTGAGTAACGTACCTGCCTTACGGCAGGGACAAATTGAGAAAAAGGTTTTCGGCAGGAGCAGGGTAAACATTCAAGCATGTGAAAAGCCATCAAACCATTCGAGGCTTTCAACGCCCAATGTTCGGGTCTCTGTTGTTTGGAGTGAAAGATATCTCGCAAAACTGATGACCGTATATCTGCCACCACGAGCAAAAGCCAGGCCATCAGGCGGTCAAGAAAGCGGGAGGGCGTGCGACCCCTGCAGTGGTTTTGGTGGTCGTTGCCCGGGCTAAGGAGATGACGGGCTTGGTGAAGGATCGAGAGAAAATTCTACGGGGCCCCACGATTTTGTGGAGTGGTGAGGGAGCGCAACGCCGCAATCGCAATCAACGGCTTATCACCCCGCCATCAATCGTGATGAGCTGGTGGCCTGAACGTATCGATAAGAACAGATAACAGAAGCTATGAAGCTCAATATCAACGACATCGAAGTGGAGGGGGAGGACGGCTGACGGCTAATCGGGTTGTTTGCGCCTCTCCTGTGGGAAAACCACCTTTGAAATTGTTAAGAGTTGTAGGTTCTTTCCAATGGTACCGTTTTCTGATGCTAGAAGAGCGGTGACGAAATGTTTGGGTACCATAGTATTGAATCATAGGCCACTCCAAGTATCTGCAAGCTAAGGGCACATTATTGACGACGTTCACCGTCGAATGCGGGAGGACAGGAGTGCAGATTATCGATCCGTCCAGCCTCGGAGGTCTGACCTCGTGCATGCTTCGCAGCCTGGTCCAGACAGCCAGTCAGTCTCAGCACTGTCTAATTGTAGCGACCTCAGCCTTCCAAGGACTTCTTTCCGCCAATCCGCTCTCTCTCTCTCTCTGGGAGGCGTTGGGGGCAGACAAAGACCCAGATGGACTCGGACCTACTGCGTAGTGGCCGGCGTCTCATTGAATCAAGGTCGAATCGGGCAGGCCGTGGCAAAAAGGGACGATCCGAGTGGCCCGGAACGCCAGCGAAGCCAGACCCCGGCTTCCATGCCAAAGAGAAGAGTGGAAAGACGAGGAAGAATACCTAGAAGGAAACAAAAGGGGATGTCGGATGAAACTGGGGATGGGATGACCACCCCTCTGCTAAGACTTCGGCGTGTTTTGCAACAAGAGAATTTTTTTTTACCGGATAATCAGGGACGGTCCCATGGGAAAGTCAATCTCCTTCCTTCTTGCCCTGATCTGGTTGTCAGAAATCTACGGAAAGGTACGTAGCGGGGTACTTCGCATGTGCTTCCATGCGCAGGAGTAGGTAGCAGTTCGGACATTGCGCCTGCCTCGTCGAGGCAAAAGGGAATTGGGGTGGCGAAGTCGAGGCGCGGAAAACTAGGTATTACGCGACGTCCAGACTTTGGAGTGCTTGCCTATTTGCCTACTTGCCTACGTATCTGTAAAGATACACGTGTATGTATTGCAACTGACATCTCACGCTGCATATGTACTCCGTACCTTACACTCTGGCGGTCTTTGGATGGGATGCGATGTTCATCCCCGGCCGAGACGACTCAGACGGCCTGGAAACGACAGGGAATGGGGGGTTAGACATGGACGATGCCCGTCTCACCCCCCTTTCCTCCTTCGTCCTCTTCGATTCTCACCCTCTTCCCCATACTACGCTAAGCGCACGGGATAAGGCAGGGCTTATCGTGAACTGAGCCACGCAGCCGGCATTCGCTTGAGAGACGGGAGGTGAGATTGCTGACTAGAGGTGCGACTTGAAGGTCGTTTAGCAGCGACGTGGATGTATCCGCCACTGTGGGGCAACTTTGGGTGTCTGTATAGACGACACTTCTTCCATTGATATCAAATCTGTATCCATAGCGAATGGTAACATAGGGAGGTAGACACGTGGAAGGAAAGGCTTCCAAGCTGGAAGACAACAGTGCCGATATGGCCCGAGGTTTGACGATATGAGATTGCTGTGACCAAGGCGGAAAGGAAATTGACCACAAGGGAATATTTCGGAGGGTTGCTCCGTGAAAATAGCCCGGACCTTCTACAAAGTACACAGTAGGGAAAAGACACTAAGCGCCATGTTAACACCTTTCTATTTTATGGCCTCTGAAGAGACAGCATCGGTGAATCTGCACTGACTGAAAGAGAGACTGGGGACCCAGGCGTATTCTGCTCAACAGAATGGAAGCCACTGTCGAATATCAGAGTCAGGAACTGGGCCTGAGCACCGTGCCGCGGTCAAGCACCAGAAAAAAAAAAAAAAAAAAAAGAGACGTCGTCAACAAGGCAAATAGCAAAGTGTCCGTGGGCCTCACAAATGGCTGAAAATGCATTGGTGCATGAACGGGCATTTTCCCTCTCACCGCCCTTCTCTATAGCCCTTTCGAGGTTAGCGCGGGGTCAGATAAGCGAGTTAACCCCTCCGATAAGACATGAGTCGCCAGGGGGGTGGAACATAGTGACACCCAACCAAGGCACCCAACACAAGCACAGGGCAGGTGGCAGCGAGGCAAGCACCAAGTAATCGTACCTCATTGCAGGCAAGAGGCAGGCACGAAGGAGACACTTGGACGAGTCTTGGAGGGAAGGAGGGATGGAGGGGAGGGAGGAAGGCAGGAAGGAGGGGTGGTTTCCGCAGTTTCTGATTTTTTTTTTCTGTGGTGGGGCTACCCTTGCCGCTAGCGTCGCCGTCGCCGGGCCAGAAGTGACACGCCGAAGCACACAGAGCCACACAGCGCACACTCTCTGCCACTTCTGTTGGTACCGTAAGGTACGGTGACGGAAGGAGCGAGAAAAAAAATAAAAAAAAGTTTTTGGTGGGCGGGCGGCGGGACAAGGGGGGAGAACTACACACTGCGTAAGGCGCTGAACATTTTTGACCAGGCACCAAATGGAGGGGGAGGCACTGGAGGGGGAGGGGCCTTACCTTAGGTACCCAGGCGAGGGGGGGCAAAAGAAGAGAGCGATAACACAAGCCAGGCCTGAATTTTGGCGCTAGACATTAAAAACTCCCAGCCCGCCGCCCTCACCCTTTTTCACAATCTTTTTTTCCCTCCTCTTCCTCCTCTTGAACCTCTTCCTCTCTCCAACCTCCCGTTCCCTTTCTTCTCTCCTCCTGGTTATCCGTCTTCCTCCAGACGCATCTCCACTCAATCATTTGATTTTCTTCACACGTCCTGTCTGCGACGGTTTATCAAGTGCGATATTCGCCTAGATCGACCCCGCCTTCGCAAGAAGTTCAGAGACTATCACAACCCACGAATCGCCATAGTAGAGCAGAAGAACTACGATCCTCCAGTCGTTTGTCTCTTCTCGCGGGCCTTTCCACACCTCTCAATCGTCCTTTTTTCGGTCACGATAGAGTTATAGACTTCGCATCTAGACGCTTTAGACGTTCAAGAATCGCGAGTTTCCTCCCCACACGAATATCTCAACAAACACCCTCCCGATCGACATAATACCAACCGTCATAATGTCTTCCGAGAACGCCCAGTCCGTCAAGATTTTGGACGAGCTTTTCCAGAAGCTCACCGTCTCCAAGGAGGCTGCCGACATCAAGGAGTCCTCCAGCTCCCTGG